CAAAATCCAATTCTTCGATTTGTCCATATTCAGCAATTACAATTAATATAACCATGCAATAAATTTTCATTCTCAAATAGAAATTTATTATCGATGGGTAACCGCTAATCTAGTTGTAAAAGCATTCGTAATGTAAGGGTTTAAATAAATAGTGTCAATTGTAATGTAATTGTCACCTAAAAGAAAATGCGGTTATGATTAGCCTTTGTAATTTAATTCACAGACCTAGAGAAATGCGTATGGTAATGCCTTGAAGCGGTCATTGTAAGAAATTAGTAGGTGTAACGGGATTGCGAGTGGCTCAGGGGCGTTATGTTCTTTGGAACAGGTTGTCGTACCAAGAGAAGCTCTACGAAGGATAACGCCGCCGCTCCGATACCTGCAACTTTGCGGTCAAGAATTTGTCGCACAGCGAGAATTCGTGCGAACGAAGAATGGCGAGCAGACTTGTAAATCTTCCGAGGCTATCATCCGCCATTCAGTAAGGATCCTTGAGGAAGGAACACCGATCAGGGGAAGAAAGCAGACAGGGTAAACTACCTGAGGGTAAATGACCCCGAGAAAAAACCTGTAATGATGCTTCCTTCTATTTTTTGAGATATTGCGTAATTACTGCGGTGTTCGTTACCAAATTAAAATTTCTGATATTGTTTACTAATATTTGATATCAATTGCGCTAAGAAAACTGCAGATTTTCATGCATTTATTAAAAGCTTTTAAAATGCAATTAAATATCCATATCAATAGAGATTAATTATGCCACTATTCTACGTACACCATAAGGAATTTTCTAGTTGGTATAAGAGAGATCATTTCCTTTTTTAAAGTTTTATGAAAAAATTCACCAAAGTGTGAATTTGCATGAAGATCCGTAGTCTAGTAGTGACCATGGATATACAAATTATTGAGATGCTTCATTTATATTTTGTTTATTTATGCGTAAAAGAGTTCAGAAATTTATTTACAAAATTGATATAAATATAGTCACGTTTCTGAATATGATCTTCGATTTGGAAAGAATTATATGTTTCATAGGTTTTTAATTACGACAGTGTTGGTGTCATATGTGTGTGTGGACATTAAAATGTATAATACATTAATATATTATTCCTGTCATATGGATATTAATATGTTGATACTAACATATTATTTCTCCAAAGTTTACTATTGGTTCATTTCCTCACAATGTTTTCGTCTCTTTAGAGATGTAACATTGTGGTAAGCGAAAAGAAAAGACAATGAACGTCGGATAAACTAATGAGTATGATAGATAGCATCATCGCGAGGAGCTTGATACAAATTGATGCATATGAGAATTATGCAATATTTAGAAATACAATTCTCCCTAATTGACCCTCAGCTTGGAAACAATAATGGACAATTTTTCGTCTTTATAGTTGTTAACAATCGGTAACTATAAAAGCGAGCCGCAAGGCTCGAATAATTGCATCTCCTCTTCGCAAATTATCCATTCTTGTGTGCAAGTTGAGGGTCAATTAAGGAGAATTTACTGTATGTACGATATTTAGTACATTATAGAACAATAATTTATTTATTAATTTAGCCATTTTTTACTTGCTACTTTCTAAGTAATATAAATAAAAAATTGCTTCATTATCAATTATTAAATACTTATTGAATAAAAAATAATTAGTTAATTGTTAGTGGCAAACAATTTATGAATTAATTCATGAATGAATTACAGGTACATCTCATTTTTTGAGTTTCTTCGACCCTTATTTTTGTCTTTCAACACAGGCAATACATTTAACAATTGTGTACACATGTGTCAACATCATTGGCTTTCACGACTTCATTACATTCTAAACCATTTATTATCGTATAATTTGTGTACCACAAATGTCAAATAATAACTTAAACATGTAATAAAGGAAAGAAAAATAATCCAAGCACATCAGATTAGTATATGGATACGTATAACAGTAATGAACATTCCGATAATTGAATTTCTTGTTGATTGATGCTCCGTTGGTTCATCGATCAGTGTTCCTGACAATCATGATTATGTGTTACGAGCAAAAACTTAACTGGATAATAGAATCTGCGAATGTAAATTTAAAGACAGTTAAAAGAAAAGTATATTTCTGAAATGTTTATGAAAAAACATGGTTCAGACGAATCGTAAAAATATTAATACAATACATGACAATTATAATAATATATTAATTTGTCGTTTGCAACCTTTTAGCTAGAATATTCTACATATTTATAAATAAATATCTGCTTTGTCTTTAAGCAAGTTCTTCTTCTAATTCGTTATTTCCTATTAAACAAATCGTATCAATATTTATTCTCATATGTTATTTACAAAAACCGGAATAAAGAATAGCAATGCAGATGTAGCAAATATTTAAAACAAATATTTTTACCATTTTACAAATAGTGAAACATTATAAGTACTTTAATACATCCCCAAAATATACTTAAGAACATAATTACGATAGCATTGTTATTTTATTCATTGCACGAAAATTGTTTTCCGGATTGAATTATTATAATTTCGCCAATTTTCAAATAACATCTCGTCATTTTGATCTGCACGATAAACTAAACGAGCAAGCCGCGTAATCGAAATTGACATTTCTGCAAAATAAACAATTATCTCATAATAAGAAACATTATCAAAAAGAACAACAATTCTCCATCGTCGTATATAAAAATCCCTTACAAACTTTTCAAGAGAAACTTGTTCAAAGCAAATTACCGCGTCGAACCTTCTTAAAATAATATCATTTTATATTATTTCAAGGATTATATATCCAAACCTTGTTGTTATATCAAATTTTGTTCGTGAAGAAATAAAATCTTTTTGTTGCATATCATCTTGAGACTGTCAGATTTGAAATAAAAACATAACGAAATAATTCATTAATCAAAATTACGATAATTTCAAAACGTTCGATATCAGTATTATTTTCAAATAACAGTATTGAAAATAACGGATTACAACGAATGATTTCTTACTATCATTTGAAATAAAATTTTGCCCGAGTCTGTTCGGTATCCGCGAAATTAATCAAAATCCAGGGAGCGTCCTGTATCGTTCGAAATCCGCCGTCAGCCGTCGTATATTTATCAGGGAGCGTCTAGTGGCCCTCGAGCGCGGCGCTTTTTCACAGAAGAAGATAGTCGGGGAAAGAGAAAGATAAGTAGAAAGAGAGAGGTAAAAAAAAGAGGGAGAGCGGCTGTGAAAAGGAAAAAAAGGAAGAGAGGCATATACCTGTTCCACGCGCTCGCGCTCGCGCTTACACACACGGTCGCAGGCGTGGGTCCACGCGCCCGTGCGCGCGCGCGCGCTCGCTTAAGCACGCGGCCTGGCGAGCACGCGTGCGCCCTAGTACGCGCACGTACGCAACCAAGCACGCACGCGAATCCAGATGGAGGGGAGAGGGTCGATGGATGGGGATCGGCGCGCGCCATGGCCCAATGGTGGGAAGAACGGCTCACGTCTTACACCCCCTGCCCTCTTCTGCCCATCGACGAAGCCAACTTCCCTCTGCTTGGGCCCACATATCCACCGAACCCCCTTTACTCCACCACCAGTAGAGTCACTACTTTTGCTTCTCTACACCCCCTCCTCCCGTTTCTTCTTCTTCTCCGTCTGTTTCGTCCTCCTCGTCTCTCTCCATCCCGTTCATCTCGCGTGCCATCGTCTCTCTCGGCCAGATCTCTGGACCAGCTTTTCTTTCTCCCGGTAACTGTTCAAATTTCGATCCCTGGTCCGCCGGTGGGGATTGGACCCTTACGCGTGCGCCAGTGTCTCTCACGCGTCACACATATTATTTTCAATTTTACAGTAACAATGACTTTTCGCCGAACCTATTGTTTCCACGGATAACGCAGTTGGATTTCGTAAAATTCAGACCTGCAATATTCGACGCAACGGTGAATACCAATGATGAACTAAATGTGAACTTTTGTGCGCATTTTCTGTTTTAGACACCGGTTTGGGAATATAAACAACGGGAGTAATTAGAGTTTTGCGTAGAGAGTTATCGTTTTTAGGTCGATTTGGATCTTCTTGCGACTAGTAGTTTGCGGATTTTCGTGCAAGATAAAAATTGTTTTCATTTGTTACACGATGTAGAAATTACATAAACATTTGTTTCTAGTGATTGGCGTGGCAGAATTTCATGCAACTAAACGATGTTCGGAGTTTAGTCACTCATTTGGCACTCGTCCATTTAAAAAAGTGGATGCCTGCCCTTAAAAGGTAGAAACTGTCTTTTGAAAATGGAAAAATGCTAAACATGGTACAATCTATGACGAGCGATAACAAATACGTTAACCGCTAAGTTAACCTTGTTGCGAACCAAATTTATCAGTTTCACAAAGTGGAACAATCAATTTTATTCGAGAATCTATGAAGTTGAACAATTATACGCAAAGTTCTCCTGCAGCACATGCCCTAATACTAATTATTCTGTAGAAATCGTGAGAAATACGCCCCCGATACACGAAAATTCGCGTCTCCGAAAGCTGGCCGTACGGTCTGAACAGCAGCTGATTTTCAAAGTTAGCTTTTCTAACTTCCAAGAAACTCGAGGCAGGAATTATCGGCTGGCTCGATAAATGCCCGAAGGTATCATCTTCAAATATCCAAATCAGCAAACAGATTCGAACGGCGGAGCACGAGGGCAATTCAAGATGAGAATCTCGGTCGTAGGGCCTGTGGTGGGGATTCCAGGGGTATGAGGCACTGCAGGCCGCCGGGGACGGCGGGAAGGAGGTGTACAGGGGTTTAGGGCCCGGTATCGAGTATGGGGTCTGTGGTGGGGATAGGCGCGTGCCCGCCTTGGCTATATAAGGCCTCGAACCCTTCTTGGCAAGGCATTTCGGGAGCCAGGTCCGTACCATCAGCATAGAGGGTGCGGTCGTCTTCTTAACTCGTGAAACTCCGTTCGCAAGCGACGACGTTTTCCCAAGATTTTTCCCATTTGTTCGCGTCGCGTGTACTTGTCCAAGGTGTTGAAAAGGGGTTAAACTGTTCCACTGTCGAGCGAGGATTTCTCAAGGTCACCTGGCACGCGCTGCCGCGCTCCTGTAGTGGGGGATCAGTGATATGACCTTAGTGGCGTCGAAGGAGGGGAACGTATTGCCCATCATGTTGAGCGTCCAGCAGCAGCATCATCACCATAATCTCCATGGGTCGTCTACAACCAGTGCTCAAACTCATCGCGGCAACGTGATCGTTTCCACGAGCAGCATGCCGTCGAATGACATGAAGATCCAGCAGCACGGTTGCAAGCGATCCAAGATATACGGTCAGACTGGACCGTACGGGGCTGTCCCCCATCAACCGGCTTCGGTAGCCAGAAGGAATGCGAGGGAACGGAATCGTGTGAAACAGGTGAACAATGGGTTCGCTACTTTGAGGCAACATATTCCTCAGAGCGTGGCCCAGGCTCTCGGAGGTAGCACTGCTGGCACACATGGCGGGGCCAGGGCTGGTAGTAAAAAGTTGTCGAAAGTTGAGACGCTTCGAATGGCTGTTGAGTACATCAGGAGTCTTCAGCGTCTCTTGGAGGAGCATGACAGTGGGTCCGACGCGAGTGTGTCTTCGCCAACATCGTCCCCACCATCCTCCACTTCCTCGTCCACGTGTGGCTCTGCTAATGGAATCGGAGTCGAGTCGAGTCACCACTCGGCCGAATTGAGACTGCGCGGGAACATGAACGAAATCAGACATCACAGTCCTGACATGCACCGACACCTCCGACAGAATCCCAGTCCCACGTTCGTAACAGCACCCTGTTCCGAAGCTTCCAGTTCACCGACGCCCAGTTTCGTTTCCGAGACTTCGTCAGCTGGCAGCCAGGGATACGGTACTTCCGGCAACCTCTATACTGCCCATTCCGACGGTTACGATAATTATGAGCCCATGAGTCCCGAGGACGAAGAACTTTTGGACGTTATCTCCTGGTGGCAACAAAGTCAATGAGAAATGCTAACGTCGCATCTAATGCGGTTCTTGTTTTCTCATGAGGTTCGTGTCGTGTTTCGCTTTTGTTGACATTTCCAAAATGTTTCTGGCAGATTTGTGGAAAATATTCAAGCATTTCTTCTTTTTTTTTTAATGTTCACTAGAAAACATCTTGAATTTGAATCTTCAAAAACATTAAAGAATTTGTCTGATAAGTTAATGTTAACTCTTACATTTCGAAATGAGTTTATACGTTCGATCATTTGTTTTCCACTAATCTAACAGTCACGGTTAATATATTATTATGTATCTGCAGATATTTGTGCAAATTTTCATCTTTAAAGTAAGAATTAATCGATGCTGTTAAATACATTATAATACAGATTTCTCAGATTTGCAAAATAGTTGCAGTGTAATTATCGCTGTAATGACTCTGTTTGTAGCTAATTGTCGACAAGAAAAGTCTCGGTTTTTAATATCAACAAAGCTTGTAAATTCGAAAGTAACTCAAATTATACTTGAAGCATTAATTGTAACATTACTTTTAGCAAATTTCCTAGAAAACAAGGTTTGTTTGTTCAAGATTCCAGCGGTTCAGATTATTTTCGGAAAGCTTCTCACCTCCCTCGCTTTTCAACGACCGTAAATTTTATCCGTGAGGTAACATCCGCGTTACCGAGGAAGTTCAAAGGAGTTTCCGACCAGATTTGTGACCTTGCCCCGTGACAATGGTTCGCGCGACCCCTCGCTGAAACTTGAGCCATTCAAATCGCAGACTCCATTCAGAGGGTATGCATTCGAGAAGCGACGCTTTTGTGCCCGATTTCTTTCACCATTCGCTAACACACATGTATGCGCGCGCGCACCGACGTGCCCACATATGCGACACGTTTGTGTGCAGTTTCGCTCCTACCGTTTTTTCATCCCTCCACGGTCCTCGACTATCGGTATTCGAAGATTTCATTGCATCAAGCACGTCTTTTCCTCGCAGCGATGTAATTTCCACAAAAATTTCGTGAACGATGACGTAAATTTCAATTGTCTCATAATTCCTGGGAAATCTATTTACGTAAATCTATTTACATGATTTTTAATTCTGATCGATTGCGTAATGTTCTCCGATCAGAAACACCGAAGGTTCATTCCATTCAAGTTCGGTTTCGCTCGAAGAGTGACGGTCCTACCGAAGTTTTTGTTGTTATTAACGATCTTCCTCTATTTTTCGTTTCCTTCATCGTCTCGTTCTGGCAAGAGACGATTTTGCTCGCTGCGTTTAACCTGAATGCATCTTCCAGGATATTTCAGTCTCCCTTTTGTAGGTTTTTGAACCGGTACGCTATTCTTTCGTCTCTCTTTTCCTCTCGGTCTCTCCCTTCCGATTTCTTCTTTTTCGTTGGAGTCCCTTCCAGTAAAACCGCCCTTACCTGAAATCATCCCCTGCTTTGCTTCTATACCTGCGACAACCTTCGGCGGTTCAGTTTTCAACAAGAATAAATTTATAAACTGGTATCGTCGCGAGTATCTGCTAGTTACTGATAAAATTTATCGAGAACAAATATATAATTGTCAATAAATCAATTAATTTTTAAGAAAAATTTCTATTTAACTAATCGCATTTTTTCGTTTGTTACAGAAGTCAGTCAAACGGTACACGGAGAAATGGAGGTGACGACGTGTAGGCTGTTTAGTAACTGTGATCTAGTCATATTAATTTGTGTACAGATAATTTGTAAGCGTGTTGTTTCTGCCAGTGACTTAAAATGGTAATTTGTGTTTAACATGTTGACCGTTAACATCATCCCCTGAAATTATTTCTTAACGCATTACAGATCCTGCGAACCGAAGTTTTTGTTGCGTAATGTTTATTCAATCCGGTATCATAAACCAACAGTTTTAATGTTAACAATGCACAGCTGTTTTCTATTACGATGTAGTCAACTTTTCAACAGTCAATGTGTTAATTACGGAATCGTCGATGACAGTTTTTTGATCGACCACCGAATTGTAGATACCAAGATGCCTTAGGTGTAGTAAGATGATGTCGTATCGACATTAATTATAAGAGACGTCCTCAAAGGATATAAAGCATTCCAGTGTGCCTTAGAGTTATTAACTTTTATACTTCCCGCAATAAATAGTAGCTGATTCTCCTCTTTGAAAAGACATCGAAAGAAGACTTCTCCGACATCAAAATAATCTCTAGTGTCAGTTAACAGATTTGTTTTTAAATATCGAACGTTACAAATTTTAAGAATGTTACGAACACTACGCGAAAATATTTATGTGAATTCGTGGAAGTATTTGAATACTGTTCTCGCGAATTAATAAACGTCTAATTGTAATATAATTTGTAATGATATTGTAAATTACGTATGTTGAACAGAATCGAAGTGTATAAGTTATGTAAATTGTAAATATATCGAGACAGTGCCTTTTTGTAAATATTGACAAATAATTCGTTAAATATATTGGACGACGTTATGAACAATAAAAGGATCTTATTATTTCCTCCCGCAACCATATTTTCCCAAAATCATAGATACTATCTATTAATTAACTTTCTATTATTTATACCACAATCATCCTTAACTAATTATTATTTATTCTATTTATTTCCAGATATTTGGCGTGCAATGCGTTTATGATAGATTGCAGTAAAAATAAAATAATCTCAATGGATCTATGTAAGTTACATCTCTTTTACATGAAGTAATAAATTTTTTCTTTAATTGCGTACAATTATGTTTACTCGAAATGTTGTGTACTCGAACGTGTGCTCGAAAGATTGTGATATATTGGTGCTAGAACTCGAGAGCTAGGAATGAGAGGAAGGTAACTGTTGGAAGATGCAAAGCTGTAAGTTGCAACAAAATTTTAGAGGCACCTGACTCGATGGTAGAGCCAGGTAGAGTGCTTACTTCACGGAGAAAGTTCTGGAGGTATCGCCATTGTATTGGTAACGGTACCTATCACTGGCAATGCCTCTCGATAGTGGAATCGATCCTACAATAAATATATCTCAACTAGTGTCACTACGTTCTCAGGTAAATTACTAACCTTCCCTAACGGACCTAAGAGCCTCTTGCTGAGATAGAAGCTTAAACTCACTGCCAGGTACTGATCTATCCTTGGGTACCGACGGAAGCAAGACAAAATTTGGGATCCAAGAAAATTACATAATATTACGTAACATTAGAATGTTTTATTTTCGTGCATAAAATATAATTTTAATCAATTGTGTGTTATATGACAGTTGCTTGACCAAATTTTTTCTTTTCTTGTTGTTGTTTATTGTCGCATTAACCGCTCTAATATGTTTAGGATAATTTCGTTTCACTTCAACCATTTTGCGGGTTACATACTATACTAATTTCGTGGAATAATATTAAAAAAATGAAACTTTATTTTTTATTACTTCCATCAATAATATATTTTTTAAACAATTTCTCATTCAGTTTATGATATAATTTACAAGTGTAATATTTGAATTATTACTACAATACATGTAGTAAAGTACAATGTCTAATGAATTTCGTTCTTAAATGATAACTGTTATTATATTAATTGTTGATGTATATATAGTATAGTTGAAATATTTTTTTGTTCAATTGTCAAAATTGTCTGCATTAATTGCTAAATATAGAAACCAAACACAAATTTCTTTAATTTTTTATTTACTTCGTTCATTTCAATCAGAATTTTAATAAATTGAATATGTCGACATTCTTAATCCTTTTTAATTTTGCTACTGTTTTAATTTCGATACGCAGTGAATATGCAAACTGTGTAGTACATAAAAATGTATTTAATACAACGCCTCCGTCTCTCCGTTTTAATTGTCCAAGCTTATTTGTAGAGAAATTTTGTATATGCATGTAATTATCAGAATATGCAACTTCTATGCATTTGGTTTGTTTCCAAGCATAATTAACTTCACATTTATCGAATAAAACATATTAAACGATTTTATTCTTTCATTTCGTTTATTTTTTAATAAAAAAATTCAATATGTCTTATTCGATAAATATGGATGCCCCAAAACAAACCAAAGGCACAGCAATTGGTTACCTAGCAGTAACCGACTCCACTACCCTATTCAATTTTTTAAAATTGTGATTAGAATCAACGAATTAAATTAAAAATTAAGAAATTTGTATTTGGTTCCTGCGTTTAGCAATTGACACAGACGATTTTTATTTTGCTTAATGATCCGCAGTCTAGTTATTACTGGAGAGTAAAGAATCGGACACACAATACTTCAGAAATTCCTTCACAATGTATTACTTTTGTAAATGTACCAATCGTTTGTTTGTAATCACACTGTATAAAGGGGAATCGGTGCATGCGTGCGATGACTTCTTCGAAAACCACGGTTATGTCAAAATTATATAGAAATGAGCCGAAGCGTCAAAGTGACAGAGTATCGTACACGTAAACGCGTTCACCCCATGATTACGGTGGACCAATTTCTGTTTTATGTGTATTGTGGTTATGAATATCGAAGGATTAACAACGAAGACTTTCGACAGAAAAATTACTGTAATTCCGTCGGCGATTGACTCGAAAACCACGAGAACATTGACAAGGATGATAGGGGGAGAGGACTCCGCCCTTCCGCAGGGTGCTTTTCAGACATTCCCTTGTCGAGGAAAACGTGGCCACCATTTACGAAAATCGTTCTGATCTTTCAAAGGAAGGTCCTCGCTCGCTGACTATCATTACGTCGTCAGGGAATGATAATCTTAGTTTAAAGAAACGGAGCTTGATAAGCTGGCTTATTTGTTTCATTCGTTTGTTTTTCGTATTTCCGAGAAAGTTACATAAAAATGTGGAAAGATGAAAGCTAGTGAGAAACTTAAAATCTTTTTGAATAAGATTCTTTACATGCTTGCAATTACAAGAATTTTCGGAATTCTGTCATAGGGACATCAGTTATCAGGACATTCGTATTTGTTGAATGGATGTCCTTGTTTGGTACAGGGCGAGCATCGTCGAATCAATTACCTGCTCTCGACGGATTTTCTGTAATTAATCTAGGACAAATTATTTATACGAAAGGCTCCGTTTTCGAGGAAACTGAGTTGAAAGATGCGACAAATTCGCGTGGCTTGTTTTAATATGACGAGAAGTAGAATTGGTATATCATGATCAGATGCGCCAGTTGATTTCTAGTTGATAGTATCACTTTTTCAACCTAATTTTTTCTCAAAAAACGGAGACTGAAATTTAAAAAATGTTATTCCTCTTTCTCGAGTTATTTTTGCATGTAAAATCACAATTGACGGTTCTACCACGATTTTTTGAACATCCTGTATACAGGGTGTCCCACAATTATTTTAACAGCCGAAAATGAGGGGTAGCTGAGGTCATTTGAAGTAACTTTTTCCTTTGCGAAAATGCAATCCGCGGCTTTGTTTACGAGTTATTAACGAAAAACACTGGCCAATGAGAGGTGACGGTGCGAGAGAGAGGGTCCGCGAGAGAGTCCGCAGCACGAGGCTTTGACAGAAGGTCGGGACGGACTCGAGCCGCGATCGAAGTATTGAACAAGTCACAAGGCGAGAACTTTACGGATTTTTTTTACTACATAACAGTGATATTTTTAAGAAAAACGCTGTTCACCTTTACTTTAGAACGTCTGAAGAATATTTACTAATTTTTCGGACCCGAAATAATATGAAGTTTAACCGTGACAGCTGTTTTAATTTTCTGGTGTGCATGACACCTCGTGTGTACCATATGAAATTTTTATGCAAGGTGTACAGTGAAGATTAACGAATGATTTGCAAAGCTGATTTAATAATAAATAAG